CCCACGGTGGCACCCTCCGAAATGTCCCCGTCGGCGGTGGCTCCCGCAAGAACACCAAGCGTTCTCGCCCGTCCTGCTCTTCCTCCTCAGGCTCGCCCTCCTCCTCTTCACTGACCCAGGAGGTCAGCTCCGTCGCTCCCACAAAACCCATTTCCTTTCCAGTGGAACCGAAGCTGGAGACGGCGTTGGATCACGACAAACTAATGGACCTGAACGAAAGCGCTGTCGGGAACGGCGGCTTCACTTCTATGTTGAGTTCTCAGGGCCCACCTGCACCTGGGTTCTTGGCCCTTGGCGGGTTTGGGTATGGATTCGGGTACGGGTTGGGACTCGGGCAAGGGTTGGACGAAGTGGGTACTTTCGGCTACGGCGGCGGCAGAGGCGTCCTCGCTTTTCCCGAGGAAGGTGACTTTGCAAATATTAACCACAACAACAGTGGAGCTGTTTCTGGGGGTTCTGTCGGGTGCAACACGTGGCAGATTATGACTGGTGGTGATGGATGGATGGCCGAGAACAACGGGGATTGCTTTACCTGGCCGGAGCTTGAGATTTCCAAGTAACAAAGTTACTATTTTAACCCACATCCCGGAAGAAAAAGAGAGGAGGATTAAATTTCCTATATTTTTTTTTCTTTTCTGGGTTTTTGGTTAGTTGTTCTGATCATCTCGTTTTGTTTTCTGGGTCGGATTCTATGGTGGGTTTGTGGTATAGATATATCGCTATAGGTTACAAAAATTAGTTGCTTTCGGTGGCTCTATGTTGTCTGATTTAGGGTTTAGTTTTTCTTGGGTCTGTAAATGTTCTGTCTTTGGACAGAAACGCTGCAAAAAAACACGGACAAAGACGACTGCTTTTTCGCTAAAACTGCATTTACTTTTCCATGCAATTTCATCTTCTTGGTTAATTTGAGATTTCCAGCTGACTAGCAATATGTCGTCGATACTCGCTCGTTGTATTGTTGATATATATGATCGATATTTTTGGTTATGTTAGGCAGGTTTTTGTTTGTGAGATCATTTTTTATTCCTTGGATCCGAAATCTGTCTACAAAACAGTGTAAATAGGGCATGATGAATAATCGAGTCCCACGTTGTCAAATTTGGTGGAAGGAAATTAATTATTAATCAAGGGAAACCAAGAAACCAGACATGAACTGACAATTGGACAACTAAAGTTAAAGATTAATGCTATAGAGATTATATTTGGAGATAAAATTTTAAAAATTAAATCACATAAAAGTTACAATTGATTTATTACTTTATAGTTGATAAACGTGTTTATTCTTGTTGGTGATACATTATTTAATTTTTAAATTTAGTCTTCTTAGTATTACAACAAATTAAATTAATAGGGTTTATTACAAGAGAATTCAGACACTCAACCTACCTCGGTGTAGTTTAAGGTTTTATACTTCAAAGATTTATCTATACTGTTCAGCTTCGGAATTGAATAGTGAGTATATGTTTGTCATGATGCTGAAAATGTGATATTTTTTGAGCTATATTGCCACTGTCCAGGGACCACTTTGAATCAAATCCCAAAGATAGGATTCGAACCTACGACCAATAATTAGTTACCAGCTAATCGCTTTAGAGATTAGATCTCTTAAGAGTGCCATTTCCGTTTTCAACTTATGACCAATATGAGCTTGAAGTTTTCAAAAAACTTGTTTGGGCTTTATTTGAAATTAGAATCCGGACAATTATTGGGGTTAACTTATTTAATTGCATGCATGAAACTGTAAGAAATGTTGTTTCCCCTTGAAATTTACTTGATTTGTACTTTTAGGTTGAACTAAATGTGAATCTAATGCACCCCATTTTTCTCAAGGCTGAAATACTTTAGTGTTACTAATTCACATATTTTGAAAATCGGTAGTTGAAGGTATGTACTCTGGGGCATAAGTATAAATATGTAAAATATGACCACTAATATTAGAGTTTAGTAGTATTTATTTCTACTTGTATATGTGAAAATGAGTTCAATTTAATACCAAATTGTTTTTTTACGGGAGGTTTAACTCGAAATCAAATCAAATCCTACTTGTAGGCTTTTTGAATCTTAAAAAGTGTTATATTTGTCCTATTTGTATATTCAAATTCCAATCCCGCTCGCAGGTTTATGTTGTTGGCAATACATACATGATGATTATACAATATATGAGGTATCCAACACTTCGAAAAGGAGGACTAATTATTTGTTAGAGTTTGAAAAGGCTAAACGCATTTAAGCAATTCTTGACCACAGTTAAAAAACACAAGTTCTCTCAAAAACTTTCAACTGGAGTACCACTTGTGTTTTTGTCAACTTCGTGCTTTGAATCCAAGACTAATGAACATATGTGACTTGAAATTCTACCGCAATTCTACTGGACTGGAATAATCATGTTTTGCATCACCCTCACGTTAGGGTTGAGCAAAAATGTCTATTTCATCGCATTAATCACGGAGAGCGCCAGCTTGCCTTGTATGATCCACTAAACCACAACCCATGCATGCATGCCGACACCATATAGTTTAATTAATTAATTAAATTTAAGGTTACTTTACTAATTGGTCTCTGCTAGTTGAAATCTAATTGGTCTCTGCTAGTTGAAATCCCAATTAAACATATGATTATTATCATATAAATACATATATAGGTCTGTGATCAGGTGGAGTCATCATTCTAGTTGGGATATTTGTCATCCCCACCCCCCACCCATACCCGCATTTCCTCTTTTTATTAAGAACTGCCATCGACGAAATTATTAACTCGATTCAATGTGCATTAAGCAGCACCCTCATTTTCTTCCCACTATCCATTATCATTGCATATCCCATTCCACATTACCAACCTAAACTACATAATTAATTAAATCACTACGGGGTGTCCTAGTGGTTGGGACTAATTTCAGGCTCGTATTCCACAAGACAGGTCATGTGTTTGATTCATGACGATAGTGAATCACACGATGGTGGTCAGGAGGAAGTTGAAATACCTCTTGTGAGTCTTCTCAACCTTCAAAATGGTGGACTACAGTGGTGAAGCCATTAGCTGGTCCCCTTAAAAAAAAAAAACTATGTAATGTGAAAACTCAAACTATAGAAAAAAATGGGTTGATTACACATACACCCCTGAAGTTTTTTGTGTTTTCACACAACCCGCTCAGGTTTTTAACATATCACAAACACCCCCGACATTTTAGAATCATCACAAACACCCCAATTAACAAGTTTTTCCACCGGGTATTTTTCTCCCCAAGGAAGATTTTGGAGATGTTGAAACTGAGTGCCGATTGGGATCTTGCCAACCAAGTGATTGCTTGAGAGGTTCAAGAATGCAAGGAAATGGAGTTCTGAAAATTCAGGTGGAACCTCTCATGTTGTTTCAGTGAAAGATCGATATTCGAAAGACTCGAGATTTCGAAAGTTACTCGATGATGATGGGATTTCACCTATGAAATCATTGTTGGAGAAGTTGAGGATATACAATGATCTGAATTCTCCGATATCGACATGTGTTTGTCCGTAAGAAATTGTTGCCTGAGAAGTCAATCGCGGTGAAGATAGTTACAATCTTTTCCTGGTCCATTGGCAAATCTTTGCTCACAGTTGTTACTGAGCTCCGGTATAAATATTTTCATCGTTTCTGCTCGCATGCAGAAGGTGATTTGCATCATCTTGGTTAGCCACCATAGCCTTCCATATTGCCAAAGATCCTACTGGTTACTATTGTCAAATATCATTAGGTTTTTCAAAAGATAGGTCTAATCAAAATTTGTAGTCAAACACTATTTTAACTCCGTAAGAGTTTCCTTGTATTTTCACAACTTTCTTCATAGAAGGGGATTTGTGAAATGATTTTAAAACGTAAGGGGAGTTTGTGATGTGCTGAAAACTTAAGGGGATTTTCGGAAAACACAAAAAACCTCAAAAGGTGTATGCGTAATTAATCCAAAAAAGAATTCCTCATCTGTTAACTATTAATGTCGGGTGCAACCATACAAATACAGTAGATTGCAATAACAATTGAGTTCAATTATTTTTATTTTTGTTATTTTAAGTGGTTTTTTGCTAAAATTCATGGAATTTTAAGTGGCTTATAACTTTATAAGTGAAAGGGGAATTAGAAGAAAGCTCCTTGCTCCTTTTTGTTAGGTAGGAGGGAAACCCCTTTTTCGAACTTTGTATGTAACATCATAGGGGTTTGGGTGGAGTGACCCAATACAGAGGGACCTTGTGCGTGAGCTTGGCCGCATGACCACATAGAATAACTTACATAGTACATGTATATCAATATGGCAACATTCTATGTTAATAAAATAAAGTTATTTGTAAATTTTTGTCTAAATGTTTAATTTTCAGGAGTACTAAATATTAAGTGAGGATGTACTCACGTCATGTAACTTATTCTCATGACTATGTGGCTCTCACGGTAGACGGTGGGGTAAGTACTATCATGTTAAAGAATAATAGTGATAGGTAGGGTTTATTTTTTATTTTTTATTTTTTATTTTTATATTTTATTAATCATAAATAGTCTTTTATGTTTTAGTAATTAATCAATTCAGTCCTTCATGTATTCCCTTGGTTATCAAAATTGTCCTTGCCTTCCACACAAATGCCACATATGTACACTAACAGATTTTAACGGAAGTAAGCGACAAGTGCAATTTGTTTACCAAATTTATGAGTTTGGAACTAAAGAACCAAATTGATAAGTCTTTAAAACATAAATGACTATTTGTGATAAAAACTCGTGATAAGCATATTAGATTGGGTCCGACCCAAAAACATGCAATGAAACTGGGTCCAATGCAACTTATAATGCCCTCGAAGCATGCAATGAAAATGGGGCCAACTTATAAAGATCCAAAAGCATTAAGAATGGGTCCATCCAAATTATAGTGATGGGAAGTCAGAAATGATTTATGTACTTACGTTCCTTCTTGTGATTCGCTCTGTGTTTCTAGCCGTTGAATTGAACAAATGCCAGAATGTAGAAGTAGAAAACAAGAGTGAAAATAATAATAATAATCTAGCATTTCCCATTTCAATACTGAATAGGCAGGCACAATGTATAAAGTTTCTATTAGAGAACCTGAAGAAACTTGCCGTTACAACATATTAACCATGTGACATCAAGAACGATCATATGTACGTACGAGACATATGGAATTTGCACCAAAGAAACATGTTTATAAGTTTTGTTGAACAAATTTTGCATAATTCTGAAGCAAGTCAATGAAACATCAGTTCGGCGGCTTGAAGAACTTCAATTTAAGTCCGCTGTTCACCATGCTCCATACCCCTCCGATCGAAAATGCCAAGCTAAAGGCGATCCCCAACCAGCCCAAGATCCAATGGAAATACCAGTTGAAGCTGTACTTTGTGGGTTTTTTAATAAGAACCCACATGAAGCAAGGATAGGCGAATGTGACCGGAAGCGTGAGCCCTCCTAGTAGACCGGCAAGACTGGAGAGGAAGGGGAGCGCCACGCCTATGAAGAAGTTGATGAATCCATAGAGAACTCGGAAACCAGACCTGACCCAAATTGAGCAAGGGCGATTGGTGCGGCTGGTGTAACCGGCTTCAAAACTGTCGAATACTGGCATGGAGTATATCTGGAAACTGCTCAAGCAATTGAACACAACTAGTAGGAAACACATTGCAAGGAGTCCTCTTGGAATGTCATGGCTGTGGAATCCGTACAGGGCATTGAGAATCCCTCCTGAAGGCATCTGCAGCCAAACAGAACATCCAATACAATCAACAAAAGACTGCATTTATAAAAACCGATGAAATGTGCCTCAAAAGTTAAAAGAACGGTGATCTTACAAGGTTTCCATAAGCCCAGAAGCCTCCAATTGCAACAGGGAACAAACACATGGCAATGAAGAAATAAGCAACCTTGGCTCCCCTCCACATTGGCACATGAGCCGGGTGCTTAAAGGTCGATGGCATTGTTGCCTAAGTCGAATAAATGGATTTGCGTTAGATAAGAATTCATAGTGAAAATTTCCAACTGAAGATGAGTTCATCACTTCAGGACTGATAGAGTGCATACCTGAATCTCGAGAACTAAATTGTGCCCCCTGAAAGCAAAGGCTACAATACCAAGAGCATTCAGGACGGCAAAGACAGAAGCCGAAGCGGTTGGCAACGAAATGGGTTCATACGAAATTGTGGGTGGTCTTGTCTGGCTAACAGAGAGGACCCAAACCATTGTAGAGTAAGTTATGGCGGTCACAGCCCCAACGAGCGAAAGTCCTGCAATCGAATTGAGGTTTGGGAGCTGAGATAGAACGATACATAGCGAAGTGAACACTAGGTACCACTCAACTGTCGTTAGGGGATTCGACGAACATAGCGGTCCACAAACTATCTGGAAAAATAGTTTCATGGTCTCCCCTCCTATGAGAATTAAAGCTGTTGCAGTTCCTGCTGATAAATAGACAGTGGGGAAGAGAGCAAGCCAAACTCCCAATCTTTCCCCTGCCACAAAGAAATATATATATATATGCCGGTTAATGACTTATTCACATACCATGTTATCAATTCCGAATGTATAGCGCTCGCAAAGATCGAACTAAATTCTTTGAATGCGGTGGTACCTAATGCAGATTATGAAATATTCAAGAAACAAATAATCTTGCAGTTGTTGACCTGTTGGTAAATGTAAGCTCTCTTACCAAATGCAGCTTGTGCAAGCTCCACATATCTGTTGTACCGCTTTCCCGGGACTGCTTCGTGAAGCTGAACTAGAATCCACAATGTGTACAGCTGCCAGAAGTAGGCTATGGTTAAGGAAAGTGTTCCCCAGCTCCTGTGGACAAAATCAAGTAAATTACAAATGCCCCAACCAAGTCCAGTCATTTCAATTTTCAACTAGTTGTTCTTAGCAGATTTGCCAATTATATCCTAATTCAAACACTTCAAATCTATGAATATTGACTTATATCATACCATTCATGACCAAATACACAATTCAAAAATGTATAATTGTGCAGCAGGTTCTCATAAACACGTTAAATTTCTTTGAATTCTTGGATGCATTGCGCACATCCAATCGGTAAATTCATTTACGTATTGTTATGCATTGGTATATTGTGAAATTTTTGCATATTGAAATGAACAGTTGAAAGGAATTCATTGACCTCTCTTTAGTAATTAAAAATTATAACACCAAAGTAATAATAAATTCAAAAAGTTAAAGGTAAGCAAAGAGTAGGATTGCAGTGAAGAGAATAAAACAAGATCTTTGAAGCTATGGAAAAGCAAAAGGTAAAGGAAGTGACATGCCTCAAGAATGTTCTGTCATTTACTTTTTCCAAATTAAAAGAATAACCTATGATTAATTTTCAATAAATGAAGTGACTTTAATCTGCTGGACCCACAAAAGCCATAAACTTTAGTCAAATTCCTCACACCAGAAACCATGTGAGAGAGTGACAGAAGCCGCAGAAAATCAAGTAGAAAACGCCAACAAACATAATTCCAAATCAAAATTTCACATCTGGGTAATTAATAGAATTAAGATAAATGCAATTAACCCTTAAGCTTGGAACTTTATGAAGCTTGAGCTAGTTAGGTGAAATGGGTAACTAAGATTTATCAGTAATTATTAGTCGAGGAGTAGGTTTAGCTAATTAATTACCAACCAAGAAACGTAATTCCAGAGCTAAACCACAACTGGATAATTAACCAAAAATGCAGTTAACCCCCTAAAGCAACAAACTTTATGAAGCTTGAGGTAATTAGGTGAAATGGGTAATTACGATTTATCAGTAATTGTGATTAGCAGAGCAGGGTTTAACCAGTTAATTACCAGCCGAGAAAAGAGAAGGCGACGGGAAGCACCAGGGCCTGGAAGCCAACGCCGGCATTGAGGTTATGAAACGCAGCGTAGTGAGCGTTGCCGTTGCGGGATTCGGTGATGGGAAGCCACGCGTCCTGCGGGTTGAGCTTGGTGAGGTGGCCCACCTCCTCCAAGTATCCCTTCATGTTGACCAGCACCCGCTTCATGGGCGTGCCGATGGGGCTGAGGAACCTCGGCGAGATGAACGACGTCGGAGTCCAGGCCGTGGACGACTTCGCCTCCTTGGACGGCAGACGAGGGGACCTCTGACCAGATGGGGTCTGTATCTCCGGCGTCGACACCCCGCGTGGGGTCGCCGGAATCGATATCAGCTCCGTCTCGGGCCTCTCATCCATTGCTTCCAGTGCGTTTAATGCGTTGAAAGTGTTTTTGTTAATGCCTGAGAGAGTTGCTCTGCTGCTCTTAAATATAATGGAGGTACGAGAAGCTCTCTCTGTGTTTCTCTGTGTGTTTATGCGTGTGAATAATGGCACTTTTTTCTTTTTGCTTTCAGTGTTGTGTGTCGGAACGCCAGTGATGATCAGAAGGAGCGTGGGGCCTTTGAGTGAGTGAAAGATTGATATGACATGATGTAGGAAGAGAAGGATGTGAGCGAGGAGGAGCTTCAATTTAAACAAAGTAACGATCTTGCTTAAAAAAATCGTAATCTGTGTTCTTTTAATGAGAAGTAGATTCTTATTTATTAAGCTAGATTAGCTTTGTAGAACACACAGCAGACCCGAACATAAGTGGTGGTGTTACCGTTTGGGAAAAGTGGTGAGCAAAATCTAAACTTCGAGGAAATAAGTCAACAATGTATATCAAACTGATACTTATTTTCACGTCCAATCTCATTATGCATGTAGGTAGAGATAGAAACAAACAGAGCATTGGAGTTGTAGAACAAGATGATTCAGGAGCACTTTCGTCCAAAGATGTCACTTCATTAGCCTTTTGCGAAATGAAGTGTTTTATAATCGATAACTCTCAGGTGTACTTCATAGTTCCAACATTTAAACAAACGAACTATGTTCAATATGAAGAACAGAACAATTGCAACCATCTTAACTACGCTTAAGCTTTTTGCAAATGTATCAATTATCTATATCAAGTTTAACACTGTTTCAGCTCTATCATGCATGTAAAGAGAGAAATAACCACGCACAACAAAACAAGTGCATCCTGCACTACTAAAATAGGCAATGGAGGTCTACTGCTCGGATTTTTCTAAAATCGACACTCTAATACCATGTTAGACAACTAATAAACTCAAAATCTTAAAGTACCAGCACCATGTTTTACTTAATTTTAGTGGAGGGGTGGGATAAGGAAGGCTCGTGAATTTGGTCAAAGAGTCGAGCAATCATGCGTTGTTGGTGAATGTGCGATGAACGTTATTTGAGATGGGTCCTAGAAAGTATGTCCGGCCTGCGGAATTTTCGGCTCCTTGGTGTTGGGTATTGCACGCGACGATTGGCGGGTGGGGATGCGAGATTGCGAGGTGAGGTGATCACTGCATTGGTCAGTGTTGGCGTGTGGATAGACATTAACTTAGAGTTTTTTTTCACTCTTCCCACAAGTCACAAGTTACCAGTAAGCGTGACTGTTGAGTGCAACTCCTTGTTCCAATAAGAGTTGGATTTGGGACATTCTTGACTGTGAACACCTACCTTCATTGTTTTTTTTTTTTTTTTGAGTATATCATATTTTACACTAATGAAAAAGAGTTCGTTTAAATCACGTAATGGGTAGTCTAATTTAATATTGAATTCGTCATTCAAGAAATTCGATTATAAGACATATCGTTTGTAAGTGAAGAGGAATACCACAAGACCGTAAGATTTTCTCCCCTTCTAAATTCCTTTATGTGGTTTTTTCTTTCAGACTTTTTGCTTGTGTCATTTTATAAAAAAGTTAAAACAAGATGTTGACGTAACTTAATTGTGATCGTTTCAAATAAGAAATAAGGGAAATGAAAAAAAAAGATGAGATAAAATCCTACTCTATTTCTAAAAAATTGGTTAAAACGAATATCCTCATTGCACAAAATCATGACAATAGTGATGGAAAAGGGTCGTTATTCTTCTCATTTGATATTGAAAATCGACTAGAAAGAGAGTTTTTTTAAAATCCTAATTGTTGAAATGGTTAGCTTTCCAAAATATCATCAGTATTTTGATTCGTAATATTTGATTCTTGTGTTACAATGTTTGATTTTGATCATTTTAAATAATGAAGATTTATTTTCTAATTATTTTAAATAGTTTCTTATTACTATTTAGGGGAAAAGTATATGGAAGTACCAAATTGTCACACAACATTTAATGGTGAAAATTTTGGGTTGTGTATAAAAAAAAATTAAATAAATCAACCTATAAATAAGAGCTTGTTTTGATTTGTTTTTTAAATTACTGAAAATGTTTTTAGTAAAAATATTTTTGGAATCAATCCTTAATAAAAATTCAAGTAAATTTTGAAAAGACACTTAAAAATGTTTCCTAAAAAAAGCACATAACTAGTACTTTTTGTAGAAAGCACTTTAAATGTTGTTTGAACCAAAAAAAAATTTTCTTTCTAAAAACGTTTTCAGTAATTTTAAAAGTACATCCAAACTAGTTTAAAGTTAATTTGTTTAATCGTATATAAACAAATGAATAAGAACGAGAGTACATTGCGATGCGCGTGAGGTTGGAGTTGACAAGGACCGGAAAACGGTGGTCCCACAGCCCAGCACTCCATACAATTTCTGAACGTCAGTGGGCCAGCGGCGGTAACTTTTTTAAAAAAGCGGTAATTTTCAAGCAACAATACAGATAAAAAAATGCCAGATATTTACCCAACACAAACCACGTGCTTCCCATCGCGCGTTTGCTGCTGGTGCACACGTGCCATTTTTTTTTTATATAATTTTTAGGGTTTTGTTGGTAAACTGGGTAAAAAGGTCAAGTAATTACTGTCACGCATTTGCATTGGAAATTAACTGCTGATGGAAACGCATGCAAGCTGCTCGAAGCATGCGTATTAATTATCTGCTATCATATTTTTTTAGGATCATTAATTCGAATTATTAATCATCTTCTGTAATTATATTTTAATTTGTTTTTAAGAATAAAGGTCCCATGCGGATAAATGGTTGGCCGAAAGTTACAACTTGGTTAGCCGTCAAGTTTTCATTAATATGGTGCTTCAAGTAGGGCCTTGGAAGAAATTATTTTCACATTTGTGGAGCATTGGGTACTTACATTACATTATCTTCAAAGGAGATATTAATTAAATTTTGAACATAAAATTCAAAATTTGATAGTTTATGTGGTGGTACTTTGATATTTTTTAAAGTTTTGTTTTCCGATCGATATGTCAAATTAAATTATTATTTTTTTATTTTATAAAATACATTATTAAACTAATTAAAATTTAATAAAGAATATTTAAAGTTTAATCAGTAATTTGTTCACCTTCCTTGATTGAAAAGAAGAAAAAAAGTAGGATATTAAATGATTAAACTAATTAAAAATTAATAAAATACATTTAATAATTAATAAAAAAACATTTGATGCTGCTGTCAAATTTGACAGCAACATCTTTTGCTGCCAACCTATGTCATCGCCACATAGGATTTGACACTTCGGTTGGAGATTAGTGTGGTCTTTTTTTACTATTATAGCTGATGTATACATAGAGATGCTCTTACGGATTCTACAATGAGAGATTTTTTGTGATTCGGAATATGGGATGGTACACTAAGTGTCACTATATAAATGGTGGGATATGTTTCTTAAAAAAATTAATAACTTAAAAAATAAAAGTTTCTACCACTTTATATAAAAATACATGGTGTACTATCCATGTTCCGATCACAATAAAAAATTTATCCTCTACGATAAACAAGTGAATGGGGTCTGTGCGCTGAGAAAATGAAAGATGAGTTAAACTGATGATAAGAGAAGAAAAACTAATATAAAAATGTCTATGGATGACAGGCAGAAGAGAAGGAACTTTCAAACATAAAATGGGCACAAATGTCCAATATTAACTTTAGGTTCAAATTCTTTCCTAAGTATTGTGTCCTAGATGCAGGATAGGGTGGGTTCAAATATAAACGGGAGACATTTTTCCGTTATTCGAAACACAATTTGGTATACCATGTGTCATAATATAAATGAAGAAATTTTTCTTCCACGTTTTCTCCATTAATATTATGACACTTGGTTGTACTGCTCATGTTTTGAGTTCACTAGAATATTTCTCCAAACATGGCGTCATCAAAGATGGAAAATGATGCTTAAGCATGGAGTTGGTGAGTGGTGAAGGTAGCAGTATTTGAATAGATCACTCTATATGTCCACAAGTAATATATATGGCGATGTTAAACCGAAATGGAAACATCCCCAAGCACTATTTTGTAGAGATATTTATGTTCTCTTATAAGCAAAATCTCATACCTGACTCACGTGAATGATGAGTTTGATCTTATTTATGAATCGTTATCCGGTGATTTAGCGCAAATCCTAGTAAAATATCTCATATCTACTCTCCTATCACCTTTGGTGCCTCCTTGTGGTCCTTCTCTTTAGCCTTTTTCTCAACCTTTAGAGCTAGTTGATAGGCCTGTTAGAGTATGAGTGTGATTCTCACAGTTTAGTAATAATCATTGTTATTTTAGATTGGTATAAAGATGTCTTAATGTGTTTATAAGAGTTAATTCAACTTTGGTTTGGATTGAAACTCTATTGTTGGCTCGAAAATAGAACTCATACTTGTACAAGGATTTGATCTTGTATTCCTTGTAGGATTATTATAGGGTAATCCAGATTTTGTAGTATAAAAACCACAAGCCCCTGCTCTCACAAATATACGCTCTTATTGTTCCAATTACCTATAACTTGGAGAGCATTGAGTTTTGCAGAGAGGAGAAGGTTGTGTGTGGATTCGTCCATGGCTTCTTCATCCATGTATGTGTTAAACTAAGAAACACAGCAGCATTTCAAATCAATTTCATATCTTAGGCCTTACGGGAAGGCTTTGTTATATACACTGCAACATACAACTTTACAATTCAAAATACAAGTGACAGCACGCCACACATGCAGCAGCACCCATCTGCTGTCTTCTGACAGCACACATGGGAAAGACTTCGTAAGCAGTCTGCAGGCAGGTATGTGTTGCAGATATTACTTCAGTATTTGCATATGTAGAACATATTTGATGCGTTGGTTGTGATTTAGTTGCTAAATTCTTGTGTTCTTGGCTAAGTATATTATAAAGGCTATGCTTATTCTTACAAGGCCACTTTCCGCGTCTGATGCATCGAGATTTCATCTTGGATTTCTAACCTCAAGCCCTATCAATCTCCAGTCGCACTCCTACACTGACCAACGAACGACGGCCAATGCGGCATGTCAAAATGCTCCCAGTCATTCCATAGACTCTGGGGGCCCAAGAAGAATATGTATGAGGCTCCAATGATAGGAATCGAAGCCCAGAAACTTTTTAATCAGGCCTTCGTGCTTTTTCATTTTTCACTCTAAAATATACTTTATGTTGAGCCGTTAATTTAAATAAAA